AACACTGCTGGTGGGAATGAGAACTGGCCCAGTCACTATGGAAAGCTTTGTGGAGGTTCTTCCAGCTACAAAAATGATCAGCTGCCTTGTGACCCAGCAATTCCACTCCTAGGAATTGACCCAAAGGATACCAAAATATTAATCCAAAAGGATACCTGCATCTGTGTTTATTGCAGCACTATTTTCAATAGATAAGTTATGGAAGCAACCCAGATGCCCCAAAATAGATGACTGGCTCAAGAAGCTGTATTGTATATATATGCAATGTAATATTATTTGGCAATCAAAAACGATAAACTCATGCCATTTGCAGCAACATGGATGGGGCTGGAAGCATATGTTCAGTGAAACAAGTCAGAAGAAAAAGAAAAATATTGGATGTTTACACTTACAGAATATAGGGACACCAAATAAGGGATCAGGAAAAAAAATATTCTAAAAAGAAAAAAAATTGACAGGCAGCTATAAATCAGAGACATTCTGAAGAGCAGGGGAAAGGAGAAGGATTGAAACAGGGGTGGGAAGACCACAAGAAACTATGGTGATGGTGCACAGTGAGTTGGTAGCAGGAATTTTATAGGACTATATCTGATAGTAGAAAGCACACATTTTACAGAAATAAAGATGATGTAAAATATATAAAAAAGCAGACTGTGAACAAAAATGAAATTAAAAATATGTTTTAATTTTATAGTTTTAATCTGTGTCTCTTTTGTTAGAAATGAGAAACATTTTTTCATATGAATATCTCTGTTGAGTTATCTGTTCCTATCTGTTGCCTATGTATCAGTTGGGTTACTTTTTTATTATAGAATCATATGAGTTTTCTTCCACATCTTGGATGGTAGTCCCTTGTTATGTATTGTGTGAATATTTTTCCTATTCAGTTGAGTGCCTATTTAATCGTCCTGTATTTTCTTTTTTGTATAGAAGCTTTTCAACTTGAAGTAAGCCCAATTGTTTATTTTTGTTTTAATTTCCTTGTCATAGGGATTGAGTCACTAACACTATATTGTTGATATAGTGGAATGTATTAACACTTTTTTTCTATTTGTTTTAGCGTTGTCTAAATTTTTATCCATTTGGAATTTATTTTTGTGTACGGTGTTAGTAAATAATCCATACTCATTTTTTCAGAAGTGTGGTTTCCACGTTTCTGCAACATTCATTAAAGAGTCTGTCATTTCCCCATTTTATGGTCATAGATGCCCTATCATAGATTACGTGTTGCTATGTAAGTGGATTTATTTCTGAGCTTTCAGTTCTGTTCCATTGTCCATGTATTTATTTTTGTGCCAATACCACATTGTTTTTAATACTGTTGCTTTATAGTAAAGTTTGAAGTCAAGTAATATGATATCTCCATTTTTCTCCTTTTTTCTTTGGGCTGCTTTTGCAGTTTAAAGCCTTTTGTGGTTTCATGTAAATGTCCCTATTTTGAAATTTGAAAAGCATTGCTCTTTGAAAAACATTGCTCATATATTGATGGGGACTGTGTCCAATTTGTACATTATTTTTGGCAGGATATCAATTTTGATTATGTCCAGTCTCCCCACCCAAGATTATGGGGTATCGTGCTAAGTCCTTTCATAACACCTGTATTTCTTGTTGTATGTTTTTAAAATCCTCTATAAAAGCCGATTCTGAGGCAGTTCATTATTCTTGGAGCATTTATAAATGACATTATTTTCGTAACTTTTTTGCTTTTTGTTCATTGTATATAAAAAGACTGTGGATTTTGTATGTTGCTTTTGTGACTTGCTACTTATTCACTTATTTCTAATAACTTTAAAAATATTTATTTACTTATGCATATAAGAACTAGAGTATAGGCCAGAAGTGCTGGGGGCAAGGGGATTCACAAGAGACAAAGTGGGGAGCAGAGCAGGCAGATTGACTGGAATACACTGCTGAGGGGAGCAGAGGGGAGACAGGAGAGGCCTGGGGCCCTCTGTGGGTCAGCTCTTTTGCAGGAATGAACCTAAGCTGCAGTGATTGGCAATAGACTTAACATGCCACTAGGGAAACCCCTGTTTCAAATAACTTTTTAATAGAGATTTTCGGATCTTCTGTATAGTAGCATATTTTCACTTCTTTTCCTATTTGGATTCCCTTTATTTCTTGTGGTTGTTGTATAGCTCTGGACAAAACCTTTGGTATAAAATTAAACATACATAGTAACAATGGGCATTTTTGCATTCCCAATCCTGTGGGAAAACTTTCAGTTTTTCACCATTAAGTAGTGTGTTGGTTGTTTCTTTGTGATATATGGCTTTTGTTAATATTGAATTAGGTTCCTTCTATGCCAATCTTGTTTAGAGTTTTTGTCATAAATTGGTCCTGAATCCTATCAAGGTTTTTTTTATCTGTAGCCATTGATAGTATCTTTTATCTTCACTCTTTTGACATAGTGCTTATTATAATTGCTTATGTTTATTAAATCACATGGCACCCCTGTGATGTATCTTACATGATTATGGTGATCATCCTTGTGCTATACTGTTGAATTTAACTTGTTATATTTTATTGAAATTTTTCCCATCAGTATTCATTAGAGATACTGCTTTATAATCTTCTTGTAGGCACTGTTTTTGTATTAAGGGACCATGAAATGCATTAGGAGTTTTCCTTGTATTTTTAAAAACAATTTGAACAGGGTGGGCATTTGTTCTATAAAAATTTGATAAAATTCATTTGGAAAGCCATCTGGTCCTGAATTCTTGCTTTTTGGAAGACTTTTTAGTACTGCTTCAGTCCCCATGCTTCTGATCAATATGTTCAATTCATCTGTTTCTTTCCATGTTGGTGTTGCTAGGCTACGTTGACATAGAAGTTTATTCATTTTTTTCAAGGTTATCATTGGCATATAAGCATTCATTATAATTTCATGGCCTTTTATATTTCTGTGATATCTGGGGCAATTTCACTTTGATTTTTGATTCTATGTATTATTGTTCTCTTTTGTATTTGCTTAGCCAGAGGGTTATCTATTTTGTTTATCTTCTCAGAGCCCACTCTTAGTTTCATTGATCTTTTTTGTATACTCTTTGATCTTTGTTTCACTTATTCTTCTCTCATTTTTATTATTCCTTTCCTTCTGATAACATTAGGTCTTGTTTTTTCCTCTTTTTCAATTGCTTTGTGTGTTATATTGCAGTTATCTTCTACCTAAGACTGCTTTTTTGCTGCATCCTATAGGTTCTGGTAGTTTATATTATTTTTGTTCATCTCAAGGTATTTTAAAATTTCTGCTTTGATTTCCTCTTTTTTAATGATTTTTATTTATTTATATATACAGAAATGGGGTACAGATCAGAGGCACAGGGGTAGCAAAAGGATTCTCCAGAAACAGAGTGGGGAGCAGAACAGGCAGATCAACAAAGTACACAGCTGAGGGGAGCAGCGGGCGGGTCAGGAGAGGTCTGCTGCGCCATGTGGGTCACTCCCGGGGCGGGGATAGAACTAGCACTGAAGCGGCTGCAGCTGGCTTGTAGTGCTGCGCCCTAGACCCCTGCCCACCAGGGCAGGCCCTGATTTCCTTTTATCCAATTGCTATTCAGCAGCATATTCTTAGTATCTGTACGTTCATAGTTTTTCCCATTTTATTTTCTTTATAGTTGCTTTATTATAGTGTTATGATCAGAGAACTTAGTAGGTGTAATTTTGATCTGCCTGCCAGCCTCCTGCCCCCCCCCAGTTCCCTTGCCTACCCTGTACCTGCATGCTCCACAAACTTGGCATAGAGAGAACGTTAACGCCTATAAAGAGCCATTGAGGGCTCCAGGATGTGCCTTTTCCTGTCTGCCCAAATTGACCGAGAACTGGCCCTGAGCTTGCTGCCCTACAGTGCTTATGTTGATCCCATAACTTGACTGTTGTGAGCAGTGCCACCATGAACACGGAGTATACCACTCAAATTGGTGTTTTTGCCTCCGCAAGTAGAGGCTTACTAGTGGAACTGCTGGGTCATGTGATACATCCATTTTAGTATTTTGAGAAAACGCCATACTATTTTTGACAGGGGATGACCCAGTCTACATTCCCACCTGTGGGAGTTCCTTTACTCCACCCATACCCTTGCCAACACTTACTGCTTCTGGTCTTTTTGGTATAGGTCAGTCTTACAATTCTGAAGTGTTGTGACATGGTGATTTTGAGTTTGGTTTCCCTGATGACATGATGAGCTTTTTTTTTTTTTTTTTCATGTGCCTGCTGGGCATCTACTAGTCTTCCTTGGAGAAGTGTCTATTTAGATCTCCTGCCCATTTTTGAAAATTGGGTTATTTGGTTTTTGTTGTTGTTGAGTTATGAGTTCTTCATAAATCTTGGATATTAATCCAATGTATGATGTGCAGTTTTTTTTTCTCTCATTCAGTAGGATGTCTTTTTGTTTTAATGATAGTTTCTTCTGTTGTGTAAAGCTTTTTAGTTTGACGTAGTCCCATTTGTTTATTTTTGCTTTTGTTTCCTTGTCTTTGTAGTTGAGTCCCCAAAGACATCATTGAAGCCAGCGCTGTGGAATGTTTTGCCTATGTTTATTTCTATGTATTTTGTGGCTTCAGATCTTACATAATTTTTAAAAGTTTTTAAAAACTTCAACTGATAAGTGAAAAAGAGTGCTGAATATTCACCTATCATTAGAATATGAATTTATTAAGTTACATACGGAGAATGTAACCTTGAAGATAGGAACTTTATTTCCCTCAGCAAATGATATGTCCCTAGATCCTGCAATAGTACCAGATTTAGGAGATATTTGTTGAATGAATGAATGATGAGTGATTAAACAAAGTAAACATGATGGTCTTACAAGGTTAGACAGTGTTCTTTCAAAAAATACTTGGTTAATTTAGAGATTGGTTTAATTTCTATTGGTATGACTTGATACATTTATTTTCTTCAGTCTTAAATAGGCTATGTACTTTCTTCAGGCTACTTAATGATAAAGAAGTGTTGCAAAGTCAGTCAGAGGCTTTCTTAACCATGACCTATTCTTTCAGAACCAGATGGTCAAAGAATTGGAATCCCGTGTCCAGCAGCTAACTGGAGAAGCAGAGAACAGTAATTTACAGAGGCAGAAACTACTTCAAGAAAAATTGGAACTTGAGAGATGTTACCAGATAACATGTACTGAATTACAGGAAGTAAAGGCAAGGTATTGTCTGACGTCAGATATCTATAAGTGTGGCTATAAAATATCGCTATTAACTTTATAAGTTAATCACACCCTGTGCATTTAACTTTGGGTGGTTTACAGCCTAAATTCTGCCATTTATTGCTTACTTTTAAGTTCTATTTAATATGAGAAGTATATGTTTACAAATAGTTGATAGAAATGTGGATACTTATTTGACATATTGAAAGATGATAAATTTCAATCTGACTGACAGAAAAACTCCTCTTGAGAGATTGAGTAAGTGTATCAGAAGCGTATATCTAGTAACATGAGTGCTTTTGTTTTATTCTCATATTGCATTTTAGGTGCACCACTCTGCATAAAGAGAAAGATCATCTTGTGAATGACTATGAGCAAAACATGAAGCTGTTACAAACCAAATTTGATGCTGATATAAGCCTTCTGAACCAGGAGCATGCTCTTTCGGCATCTAAGGTATTAAATATGCAATGTGTGTATGCACTCAAGAGTGATTGTTTACTTTAATCAGCACATGGTGTTCAACTACTTAGAACCGAAGTAGTTGGCATCAGAAATTCGTCTCTGGTTTATCTTGCAATGTAATTGAGATGCCAAGAATTTTTATTGGCACTTAAAAAGCTGGAAATGAAAATGTCTACTATATAGCATAATGTAAATATGTAAACAATAAATTTTGCTATAATAAGCCCTTTTAAGGATTGCAGTTTGTAAAGGAGGAAACAAAGAAGTAATCAGTTGCCTAAAGAAGCCATTTTTACAGTAACTGTACACATCATTCATATTATTTTGAAATCCTGGTTATGGTTTAGTTTTTCTGCTGTCACATGTATTAGCTCCTGGGCACCCACTGGCACCCACACATAGTTGTGTCAGAAAATTGAAATTGATTTCTGCCAGAGCTACAACTCTGAGGCTGTCAGTTACTTAATATTTCATGAATTGAATGTTCTATTGAATTTGATTTTTTTTTTGGGTAAATCTGTTTTTACATCATTATACTTTAATAACTTTAAATACTCTGTATACTTTGTATTTTCGCGTTGAAAGATTTTTAAAACTTAATTTTTTTTTCATTCAGATTTATAGATACCTTGAATTCTGAGTGAAATTTCAGGGAGAAAAAGTTATTCAAGAAGTTGTAAGGAGTTGTAAAATCAATATTCTGTCTTTTTGCTTCTTAAAATCCTTCTAGGCATCTGGTATGATTGAAGAATTAGAACAGAACATCTGTCAATTAAAACAGCAATTAGAGGAATCAGAACTTCAAAGAAAGCACCAAATAAGGGTGAGCTCTGTATACTTAAGTTCTTTTCTTGACTCACATATATAAATGAGTCAATTAAAAAAAAAAGCTCAGAAATGCAATTTTCTATTGCACTTTATCATTTTTCTTCTCATTTATTTTATTAATGTTGCTGAAAGAAGATGCTACTGAAATATAAAGAATAAAGAACAACTTCAGTTTGAACAATCAATCACCTTTTGGAGATTAATATAAAATTAAGCTTTACTTATCTGTATTTTACTTTAGAGTAATTCCCATCTGCCAACATTGGTAATTTTTCTTCATCATCTATTTTACATATATCCTTTAGATTTTACCTTTTTCTTTATGGCTAAAATGCACCAAGAACTTATATATGATAAAATTTCAAATATAATACTTTCATAGTAAATTAGCTGTTTTTAAATGAAATCCTAATGTAAAGGCTAGTGTTTCTCCTCCACTGTAGGTACTTTGAAAGCAGAAACATCCAGATAACTAAAATTTTATGGTTTAGTTATAAAGCTACTCTTCCTACTTGTAGTTTAGAAAATTGGCGGGATAGGGTTCTCTTACTAATATTCAAAACTTGAAGTTGTGATTAAGTAGATGTCTTTATTTCATGAGATTACTAATTTGACTTAACAATTTTGAGTATAATAAAAATAAATACTTATCATTCACAGGATCAAGAAAATAAGTTTCAAATGGAGAAAAGTCATTTAAAACACACCTATGAGAAAAAGGTAATATGTTTTATGGGAAAATAAGACATTTGAAGTAGCAAATGAAATGATGAACAAAGACCAGTTTTATAAAGCTATACATTCTAGCCCTTAAAGAATAATTCATTTCTACATTTCCATTAATTAGCCTGTAGTCAAATTTTGCTTCTTTAGTTTCATGTTTATAACAGCTTCTTCAGTTCAAGTATTAACTTAATTAAACATCACTGGTCTGTTATATTTAAAAAGTGAATAGTACTATTATGTTAACCCATCATAATAAACATTTGAAATTATATTTTCTAACTGCTTAAAATATGATCTATCAATGGGAGCTACATTGTATTCTATTGTATCACGTATAGTAGGATTTCTAAATATTTAACCAAAAATATATAAAACTGTGATAGCATTGTCTGCTACTTAAAAAACATATTAGTGATAGTTTCTCATCACTTAGAATAGTTAATTTTACTGACTTTTGCTAGAATCCCTATTTTCAGTAATAATGGACATGTACATGTTTGGCAATAAAGTATGGAATTCTATTGGTTTGTAACTTTTGTCAGCCTGTTTGTCTGTCTGTCTATCTATCTAGTTGGCATCTGTCTGTCTGTCTGTCTATCATCTACCTGTCTATCATCTGTCTGTCTATCTATCTAGTCAGTCTACCCAACAGGTTTAGCAGGGAATTTATTTGATACCAATGTCTGCTTCTAGAAGCAGGCATTGCAAATATGTCTTTGACTACTGCCCCTTGTTGGCTTATGACTTTTAAGCTTCCGTTTTGAAATTATTTGCTATAAGACATGCAAAATCAAAGAGTACTTGAAACAGCAAAGATTTTATGGCTGCTTTTGTATTTATTGTTTGAACATTTGTAAAATTCATACATAATTAAAAATGAGAAACAAATTAACCCTGATACTAATTAAAATTAAACAGTTTTATGGCACAAAATTCTTAATACACTTTGCAGTACTGCAGCTAGATCTGAGGATATTTGTCATTAAGAAGTTAGTAAATGCTTTCATTGGACAAGGTGCTGGGACTGGGAAGAGGGGTGAAGATGAATTAGACATAGATTCTGCCCTGTATGAGCTTAATATATGGGAAAGAATGTTTCTTTCATTTGTAAGAGTATTTTTACTGACATGTATTTATGTGACTATGTGTGCTTTCAAATCATGATACATTTTCTTATTGCTATAGTTTTTTTTTTTTCCTGACTGCAATTTTAATACAGCTCAGTGCAAGCTCCTGAATATTTTTCATGTCTCCAAAATGATACCTGAATAGGAAGGGGAAATCTTGCTTTCTTTGAAATAAAGAATTTTTTCAGTTTCTACTGTTGAGCCATGCAGCTTCATAAATATTTTACTTACCAGAAAAAGACCATACATTATCATAAGCTTGCTCACCCGCATATGAGGCATCCTCATCCTCTGGGTGTTCTTGTTAGTCCATTGTTCATGCTTTGTGCAGATATTTGGCTTCCCAGCCATGAAGGAACAGACTGACCTACTGCTCTGATACGCTGTGCGGTCAGCTCTCTTCCTCAGAGATGGATTCTGCATACCTGGGAGACCGAGAGAAGGATGCTAGCGAGGAGGAAGACATGCACTGAATAATTTGAAAGAATTCCTGTCCCAAACTTCTTTAAGTTTCGTGAGGTTGTTAAATATGGAGACAGAGCTGAACTGACAGACTTTCTGTTACCACTGTCTTTTGGATCCTCAGTCCTACAGTATAGTTTCTGGACCAGCCCTTCTCCCTCAGGGTCACACACAAGAAAAAGAATGTTAGAGCTCGACTCTGCTGTATCCACTCACCTCGCAGCCATTCCCTTTCTATTTCACTTCAGGGAGCAGAAGTAGGCCCTTTTTAATAGACCTCGTAACTGTGGCTTTTCCCTTTCATGAAGTATCAATTAGACTAGCTTTTTCCTAACGCAACTCGAGTGTGCTGTTTTCAGGGTAAATATGATGTGTTAAAATAATAGCAACCTTTAAAAGAGCATTTGTTCATACTTCATATAGTTAACAGTATTTAAATTGGAAGAAAGTGTGGCTCAGCATGCCACTTTTTGCTTTACAATTAATTCCATAATCCCCCCCTTTAAACTGACATCTGTTCTTCTTTCTTTATTAAACCTGCTGTGATCTCAGTCCTTGAAGATTTGATGCCTTGTACCCCCTCAGGGAATATCCTTTTTGACTGCTCCAAGAGCTGACATCAATCTTGCATAAGCCCCGGACTATGTAACTGGATAGTTAAATGGGGTGTACAGGGCTCGTGTGTGTACTACACAGTGTTACAGGTGTGCACATTCAGTAACTTTTGCTACAAAACTTAGTTGTCAAGATCTGTCCAGCAGAGGAAATGCCATCTGAATGACATTATTTCCTCATGGCAGCAAGAAAGCAGCATGACAGATTCTGACTTGTCTGAGGTAAGAGAAACTGCATCAGATGGTGTCCCTAATTTAAGCACACACATTATCTAGTGGCCTTTATTGATCTCTGGTGGCTATTGCCTGCTCTTAAGATCTTTGAACATCAAACAAATAATAGGTAGTAAAACGACATGTCATTGTTTGATGAAGTGTCCTAATCTGTTAAATCAGGAAATGGTTAGGCTAAATGATTTTACTAGCAAGGAAACACCTGCCTCCTACAAATAACCTACTGCTTGTTTTCCAAACAGGCACCAGAGAGTGAAAGACGGTGCTGTTTACCTAAACGAGGTTCACGAGACAAACGTGAAGCACAGATATTTTAAATTTGTGCCAGAATTGAAATATTGGCTGCAAGTAATTCTGATGTAACGTGTATAACAGATGAAATACAAAGTTTGATGGAGTTCAAAGCTATTACAATATGGTTATTCCAGGGCTCGGCTTTTATAGATAATTATTTTATTGAGGTTAAAATAATCTGAACATTTTAAAGTGTGGCATATAAAATATTATGTAGACTTTTCCAGCTACTGCTGGCATGGTTTTCTCTAAGAAACTGTGTTCTTTGAGGGAAGTTTTAAAATATGCAGTTGTTCAGTGAAATGATTTTAGACATTGTGCCCCAGCCCTGCCATTTCCATGTCTGCTAGGTGTTGAAAGCTAACAGCAGCTCCTAGCCGGTCCACGTCTGAGTCCACAGTGACCCAGGTCCCTCCTCTGTATCAAGAAGTCCACCAGTCCACTGTATCTTACCCGTTACTTATCTAGGGCAAAATCTCCTAATTTATACAAGTTTCCCTTCTTGATTACTTAACATTTTCAGAGGTAAGGAAGTCGATATATATATAAATGCTTAGTTAATGTGCTTAAGGCTATTGCAGTTATTACTTACCATGAACTCTCAGGTTTGAGAATATATGCTGTGTAGTTCTCTATCTGGCTTGCATTTTCATTACTTACATTTTTCATATTTATTTTTGGAATTAACAATATCTAGTGGGGAAAGGATTACAAGCAAATCAACTCAAGCCTCATTCCCTCACTACCATTATTATATTAAAAAGGAAAGGTTGATAATAGGATTATCTCTATCACCTGCAAGCATTTGGAAACTAGGTAAAAACTTAAAAAAATAATTGAAAAATAATTAAAAAGGGCCTTAAGGATACAATACAAAAGTACTCAGTTAAAAACCAACCAACCCAGGACAGCATTTATCAACAATTCTGGCATGGGTAGGTATTGTCTGGGTGCTGGTGATATAAAAATAAATGAGAAACAGCTTCTAGCTTTAAGAATGTCCCCAGCTCACCAGTCTGAGCACTGGCACATGCATGTTTAACTCAGAGGGAAGTCCTTCAGCCTCCCACCCAGATAGTTCCATTCCTGTCTAAGAAATGGTTCTAATGTTTAGCAGCAATAAATTAGATCAAGGTGCTTGAGTTAGCACACTGGCCAGCATCAGGAAGTGGCAGCTGAAACTTGACAGAAGTTAAGATTGAATAGGGAGTGATAAAAAGCACTTACAAGATCTCAAAAATGTGTAGCAATTCAGGGCCATTTACTGAAAAGGGAAACAGTTCATCTGAGGAAATTACTGTTGTGACATGCAGTGATTCTGGGTGTTCATAGTGACTTTGCATTTTCAAAAAATGTGCATAATCAATTGGAGAAGGCAGTCCTAATAATTTTCAAAATTTGTTTAACATTTATTATGTTCCCAATATTGTGCTAAGAGGTTTCCATGAGATAATTACTTCACAGATTTTCAAATGTACTCATTGCTCCTGTTTTTTCAGAGGCAACTGAGGCCCATTGTCAAGTAACTTGCAGGCTGATGCTAGAGTTTGCATTCATAATCAAGTGTGATTTTTGTTCCTCAAAAGTGACTAATGTTTTGAAGTTTTTAAGAGTAAATCTTAATTATGCTTTTGTGTAGAGTTCTGAGTTCCAGAAAAAAACTAAAGCAGGAATTACAGAGGAAACCCCTGTAGTGTCCAGTGCTTTGGAGACAGGCCCCAATATGTAAATGGCTGTGGACTCATCAGTTACTCTGGTGTGGCTCCTTGTTAGTACTCGTCTAGGTGTAGTTGAGAGTACTGGAGAAGCAGGCTGCGGGGTCAGGATGAGACATCCTCCTCTGTAGAAATCCCCAAATCCTCCTGGGGATGTTCCAGGAACTGGATTTTTAGCTGTAGCTCTGAGAAAGGACCACAACAGAAGCATGTAGTAGAAGCAAGATTAAGCTCTCTATTTATGAAGCATTAAATATGGTTGGTCAACATGCTGTTCTATGAATGAGTAGGGAAAAAAAAGCCAAAAGAGTGTTGTTAGAAAAATATCACAGAGCAAAGGCATGAGGACATTCTCCATAATACAGACGACACAAAGAGAGGAGTTTCTTCTAAGTGGATTACTCCGAAAGAACTCAAGATATTTATCTGAAGAAATGATGTCTATGAAAGGACAGATACCACAGGGGGAAAAAAGAAGCAAAAGTGGAGGATTATATAGGGAGGGTTGTAAGGAACCTAAAAATACAATAGCAGATGTAAAATCTACGTAGAAACTGGCTAGGGGTTGACCAGGTGGAAAGAATTAACTCAGTGATAATGAAGAACAAAGAATTATCTTTCAGACTGCAAAGGAAAAGGACAGGATTATAACTCTGAGAAAGGAGCTAGATGTTAGGCAGAAAAAAAGGAAACCAGTAAGCAGCAACTGATGTTCCTGAAGTATGACTTAGAAAATTAACACAAAATTAATCAAGTATATGAGAAAGTTTTTCTGACAGTCTATGTACAGCAATTTAGAAGATTCGCCCTACATAAAATAAAGATCAATAAAAAGAGATTAAGAAACGTTTGCGTGGCAACATGAAGAAAATGGTCTGGTAAGTTTCCAGGCCAAGGAGAGTGGAGGGCAAAAGTCAGAGGACATCACTCTTCTTAGTTGCAAAACTAAACATCATAAAACTAGAATAACATATGCTCTTGTTCTTATGCCAACATGTTGTGATTCAGTCATTTTGTCCACATGCTTTCTTCATAGGTGGAGACGGCAGACTGACAGTCTTGGATTTGCAAAGTCTGAGAGTTATATCTGTGACTCAGATCATCTTTTTGGAAATAAAATAACCAAATGATGCATTTTAATCAATTTAAAGATAAGCAAAAAATCAAGTTGGAAAGAAATACAAAGGAACAAAATTGAAGTGGTAGTGAATGCCAAAATTACCTAGAATTGAGATTAATTTAAATGTTTAGTGTGCACTGAATATAAAACAATGCAAATGTCAAGATTCTTGAAAGGATGTAAAAGTAAATATTGTGAAAACATACTTGGATGAACATTCTCAGATTATTTTTTTTCTTGGTGATTAGGTGCTATTTATTTCATTTCTCTTTGAATGATTCAAGTCATCCTTGAGGAGAAAATAGCATGGGACAGTGGAAGAGGCATGTATTTTGGGTCATCAAATACAGGGTTGGACCCTCCGCCCATAATTAAAGGGGTCTTTGGAGGTGTGTGGAGGAGCTACAGCCCAGTCGGCTTTAGAGAGGAATCTATATAGGTTCTATATAGAACCTCCATATAGAGAGGTTGAAGTGACATTCTTAGATTATTAAAAGATACACTAAAATGGATAGGAAAGGAGAAGTGGAATTGTTTTAAGTTATTATTTAAAGAGAAATAACACAGAGTTGACTTTCTCACTTGCTAACTATTTGAGAAATGTAAGTTAAAATAATTATTACATCTCTCATCTAATTGTTAGTGAATTTAAGAACCTTATCTCTATGTACCAAGCAATCTATCAGAATATGGAGAAGGGAAGAGGAAAAAAAGCCAAGTAAAAAAGGGACATGAAGAAACCAGAAAACATAAAATTGCATAAATAAAAATAGTTCAGTGAGAACTATGAAGCAAAAAATTTCCCTAAAAAAGGAGAAAATGTGTAATTTGGGTCAAAAGCAAAATCTGTGATATTTATAAGAGCTTTAAAATTATCTGACACTAAGATTAAAGCAAAAGGATAAGTAAATGTGTCCGTGTAAATATGTGTGTGGATAGTTAAATATGTGTGTGATGATATTTGAGAGTAACAGGTAAAATTTTAACTGCACTAATACTAAATTTTCTTTTCAACTGTAACTGCCCCCCTCCCCCGTCTTCTATTCAAATTTGCTTTTTCTTTGTTTTTGTTAGTGTTTGGATTTTACTGATTTAATGTTATATATATATATATATATATATATATATATATGTATATATGTAACATCTTTTTTTCATTTTGTACATTTTTTCATCTCAGTTGTAATCCCTCTGGACTTCCCACGACCAATTCACCATGTGTCATCATCATAGCCCTGTGATTTTTAAGAGAAGATTTTGCTGAATATAAAAACATGAATGTTTCAAAAGCATCTAGCCAGGTCATCTCCAAGTTTCATTTTGAACTTATAGTCTTTGCCCTCTGAAGAAATAAGGTCCGTGTTGGAATGGCACTTCTGTTGTAGATTTTTGCTTTAACTCCAATTTAGCATGACACTCTTCTGTGTCAAGTTAGCATACCTACTACATGGCAAGGTAGCACACCTACTACGTGTCAATTTAGCATCATGCTTTTTCTGTGTCAAATCCTGTACTATTAGAGGTCCAAGATATCACTGTGATTTTAATATTGAACCTGATAAAATTTTGAATAGACTTTCCTCCCCTGCATAAAGTTAGATGAATGTAGTGCCAAAATTCTGTATGGCAAGTTGATCTTTCTCTTTCCAGTAAGGAAAAAAAGAGTCTTATGAGATGATTTTAACTTTACCAATTTCATCATAATCCACCCTCCCCAATGCCCTGTGTGTTCCTCTCTGCTTCTCAGTCTTTTCTCACATAGGAGATTCCCATCACTTACAGATATCCCCATGGAAATTTTCCTCTTTCTCCCACTCCTTTCAAGTTTCTAAGGAGATAGTTGAATTTATTTATTTTATTAATTCACCAGGAAAAAATACAAGCGAGTTATAAAAGGAAAAGTCAAAGGATACAGCTAGGCTTCATCCAAACCAGTATCAATAGCTAATGCACCAATTCTTGCCTGGCACCAATTTCATTCCTTTTCAGTAAGAATAGTTATTGTGTGTTTGTGTTGTTTGTTGCTGCAATAGCTCCTCTTCTTTATGCACCTGTCACCCTGTCAGCCTCCCGGTCGCCAGCAGGTGTGTAGTTGGTGTCTCCACCCGACTGCATATCCTGAGTTTTCTCATTCAGCACATCAGCACCTTCCTCCCTGTCAAATGTGGCTGTCCATGCCTCCCTTTCCCTAAGGATGCACCAGTTTCCTTACCCTATTTTTCGATCCTCATAATTTCCACATTGAGTATGCTTGTCTGATTTTGCAGGTAAAAAGCTTTCTGTGAGGAGAGATTTTCAGTTAGTCCTCCATTTACTTGTTAGCGTCTCACCACACTCAAAGGATGCCACAATTAGGAAAGGCACACTCATTGTGGGGGACTGTTCCCCAAACTCCATCCCTGGTTATAGGAAACACCACAGTGATTCATGGTCATGAAATAGATGATTTTATCATAGCCTGTATGTGCTTGGTGACTAGACAAGGTATTATTGTGTTCCCTTGAATCTCAGGAGATTTCTTTCCTTTGGCTAATATGTAATTAAAAATATTCAAAATTGATCGCATGTTTTTTTGACTTTCTTACATATCAGTGTATCTTAGAAGGAATCCACATGCAGATAGATTCGAGCAATTGTTAACTTTGACCAGAAAATTGGAAGTATAGTTTTGAAGTAGTTCTGTGATAATGATTATAGTAAATCAACTTTCTCTCTTGAGATAGCTAAATCTCATTTTATATAGAAAAATGAATTTAAGTTTGCAGCTTCATTATTTATATTTCTCCTTTGGTTAAACTTTTATCTTCTAGTAAATTTTACAATATCCTTGTCGTGGCAGGTTCATGACTTACAGAGTGAACTTGATAGAGAAAAAGAAGATGCTCAAAAGAAAATTCACAAATTTGAGGAAGCTTTGAAGTGAGTAAAATTGTACTATAGTTAATTTTGAAAGTTTTCTTATTCTAAACTATAGGCCTAATTAATTCACTGTGAGCCAAAAGAACTAGAACCTAAACATATTTTTATACAAGTCTTGCTGCATTTTAATTTGACTTGCATTTCCATCATGAATCTCTATTTTCAGAATTTTATTACTGGCCAGTAATTTTTTTTTAAAGGGAAAAAATCAGTACAGCTGTTTTTAAGTGATAGGAATGTAAGAAAATAGAACTTAGTGGTTTCAGATGCTTTCTGTCTTTTAACTGAAAACAGATTTAAATAAAGCAGGATTTAGGTCATAAGACATTTAGAAATCCCTTTGTAGGTTTTGTTAAGACATTTGGGTAGTGTAACACCGTAGTTGTTGAATTTGAAAGTGGACTACTCCACAGGTATTGCTTAGGGAGGGTTTGACCCATGATGTAATCTTACACATTCACATTAAAGTATTAGATTTTATTTATCTTCTCCATTAATTTACTAACTTGATTAGACTTTACTGATCACTGGGTTTAGCTTGTAGATTTTTGTTGGAAAAGTTTATTCAGTGACTACCAGGTTTCTTTCATGGGTCCGGCAGTGGGTAGCCCCTTCCCAGAGGACCTGATAGTCTGGTTGGAAATATATTTAAAAGCTCTGGCAATTAAAGTGCAGGGTGAGAAGAACTTTAACAGGAGAAAGGTCAACAGATGCTTGATGTAAGGGAGTGATTTAAAGAAGAGAACCGTACTTGAGTGTAGCGTACCTAGTTAACTCCCAGGGAATCAGCTAATTCCTTTTTTGCTTTCCCAAACCTCCTAACAGAATTAACTTAAACAAGGCCAAAAAGAACATCCAGGATCAAACAAACTTAGTATCAAATTCTGCTAGGAAGATTGCAAAACCATTCCCTCTCCCTCATTTTGCCTATTAGTAAAATATATTGGCTGGGCTGCTGGGTAGAACATCTTAAAATAATTTATGTACCATGGCATCACAGGATATCATTTTTTTTTTATCTGCACAGGCCTTATTGCTTATTTGTTTACATCACCAAGTTTGGATTAGATGAAATCAGAAAAGAGCCATGATACTCATTAAACATTGAATCAAAACTGTCTTATATGCCAGTGGATAGACAAAACTAGGGCATTCTGTTTTTCTTTACGGAAGGACTCCCTTTATTCTCTATTAACTCATTTTCTTTCTTAAAATGTTGATTAGCGATTTTCGTCAGCTAATCAATTCACCACACTTTTGTTTCTCCTTTGCAATTTTATAATACTTTCACTGGTTTGCTGATTTGTATTTTATATTTCTTGAGGAAGAGATAATCCTTTAGCAGTAGGCCAACAGATACCTGTTTACTACCTACAATACATGCCTATTATAGTACCCTACTAACGTATACAGAAGGTTTAGAAGATTCAGCTCATAACACTGTCCTGAATGATATTATAGTTCATGTTTGACATTTGAAGTACTTACGGTGCTAGGTATTAAGATGTTGTGGTAGTACAATTAGAATTCAGGAAGATTTTTTGTGGAACATAACTAGTGGATATGTAATACAATATCGTATCTCTAATGTCCACTGAGGGATAAAGAAAGAACACTGAAACTTCCAGAATTTTCTATTTACTGAGACAAATAATACTCTCTGAGTTTTAAAGGTCTTTACCAAAATATTGAATTTTTTAGTAGTTTCCTTTAAAAAAATTTACTTGAGGTAACCTTGGTTTACACTGTTATATTTTGGAAGTGTAGGACTCCTCCTCTAGGTGTTGTTACCAGAACATTCCTACTGCCAAATCACCTACCACCATCATCCTCCATTGTTCCTTTTTCCCATCCGAATGCGTCAGTCCTAAACTCAGCTTTCCAGGTTGGTTTTCAGTTTGTCTTTGTCTGACCCTTGACCCTTTGTTGCCTCCGTATCCTACAAATAAATGACACCACTCAGTATTTGTCTTTCTCCTTTTATTTCTGTTAACATAATTCTTTCCACCTCCATCCATGTTACCACAAATGACATAAGTTTATCTTCTTCCTCGATGAGTAGTATTCTGTTGTCAATATATGCCACATCTTCTTGATTCACTCATCTGATTTTGGGCACTTACCTTGTTTCATGGTTTGGGTATTGTAAGTAGTGCTGCAGTGACCACGGGAGAACAAGTTTCCCTTTGAGTTAGTTTTCTCATGTATTGTTTGGGTAGACACCTAAGAGAGGAATTGCTGGGTTGTATGGCAGATCCATTTTTAATCTTTTTTAGAAACCTCCATACTTCTTCCCAAAGGGGCTGGACCAGTTTACCATCCTACCAACAGTTTAAGAAGGTCTTTTGATAAGGGCTTTGGGCCTTTTTGATCTTTTTGATAAGGTCCATTCTTACAGAAATGAGGTAATATCTTGTGGTTTTGATTGACATTTCCCTAATAGTAACTGATAGTGAACATTTTTTCATGTGTCTTTGGCCATCTGCTTCTTTGCAGAAATGCCTATTTAGCTTTTCTGTCCATTTTCATTGGAGTCTTTGTTTTCTTTTTTCTTGAGTTGTATTGTGTTCTTTGTGTATCGTTGATATTAACCCCTTGTCATATTTATGGTGTGCCAATATTTTCTCCCATTCACTAGGATGTCTATATGATTTAGTTTCTCTTGCTGGGCAGAAGCTTTTCAGTTTGATGTAGTACCAATTGTTTATATTCTGTCTAAAATAATTAATTTTACTTGGAAAAAAAAAGCAACTTTATATTTTAAATAAAAATCCCCTGTAGACTTATTTCTCATAATTCCTATGTAGGTGATACCTTCATTTTACTAAATGTCTGGATGATCCACAATATGGCACCCCATATAGCTGAAGTAATCAGGGCTAAAAGTAGTGTCGTACGTTTTTGTGTGGTCTGAAGTTCACAGTACACAGCAGGAGTTGGCTCTTTTTCCCAAGGAAAATGTCTGGGGGTTGGGTGGGTGTGGAGGGCAACTGCTTTGCTTTTGAATCTACGAATAGTGTGTGACTTAGTTGGCCCAGAGACTATTGCGTTTTTCTCAAAGAGAAAAAGACATTCTAAGAAGTCTAGAAAACATGCAGTGCAGAAATTTGCCTTGATGATGAACACTTTTTTTTTCTTTACTAAATATATAAAAAGACAAAAATTCTCACTTTCAGAATGAGGTTGTTTTCATAGGCTTATTCATTCATTCAGTGAGGATTTCTTCTGTGTATGTTAAATGTGTAGTAGAAGATATCAAAGAACACTGGAATATGCAGGTAGGGGCTCATATACATAGAGCTGCCTGATGTAAAGGCATGTGAGAAGATAATCGTAAGATGAATAGGAAATGGAGATTTCTTAGAGAAGGAAAGTCTTCCACTAACAAGTGAAGGAAGAGTGGAGAAAAGATAAAGCATCTTGGGGCTCAGTGTCACCCTCTCCATTCTCTTCACAGATGCTGGCCTCTGAGGGTGGCTCACCCTTCTTTATTAGTTCCAAGTTCTCCTTCTCAGCTTTCTGTTCCCCTTGACCTTGTTACATTGTCAGATGTGCTCCTTCCATGTAAGACTTTTCCTTTCCCCCCAAGGGCTTGCAAGGCTCAGATTTTATGATTCTCTCAGATCATAGAGCTTTGCAACGGTGTAGGAGTGTGGTGGATGGGGACAATAGAGCGCATGTTTGAGGTGATACTGGAAACACTGGGTGACTTATTCTGACATAATAGCTGTGTCAAACACTGCAAAACTTGGCACTTTTTCTTTGAGAAAATGATTTGAAGTTAGTATTCACTTTAGCTACTAATTTGCCTATCGCTATTGTTTCACAGAATTAAAAGTAGTAGTCTGCCTTGCTGCTGTTGTACAGTTTTTATTCTACCATGTTCTAAGCAATTTTTGTTGTCTATCTTATTTTTATTGTTGAAAAGAATTTTAACAACCCCCAGCAACTCTAAGTTATCTGAAATAGTAACTCTAAATGGTATAAACTGTATGTGTTCACTTTTCAAAGGCAAGTGATTAAAGCATATGGAAAACTCAATAGAATAATACGTAGAAAATGACCATATATAACAAAATAATTTGGTGTACCTCTTGGAAGGACTAACTGAAAAAAAGTTTATTTTTGTTTTGGAGGACTTAAAACTCTATCAAGAACAGATGTAAATAATATAGGTCTAGTTTATTCCTTCTTCAATATTCATATGTTTGCCACAATTGACTTCTAAGTTCTTGGTGCTTTAAAGAAAAACAAAGCATGGTTCTTAGATATTATGTAAATTATCTATTTTGAAGTATTCAATAAGGCATTCCAAAGTTATCTTTTTGATGGAAACCTTTTCAGATTCCTCTTTTGCAGTAAACACAAGATACCTGAGCCAGATTTAGCTTGATCCATTTGAACATTTTTTGAATTGTCAGTGAGAATTTTTTAATATGTCTACCCTGGCACTAATATGTATGTGAGATTTTTGTTTTGAGGAATATGTGGTGCTACTTTCACTAAAAAATACTGTACTATTGGTCTTTGGATGATAAAGTTATGAAGGACTCTGCAAAGAGCAGGCCCAAGGTATTGTTCCGATTTTATGCCTGGATTGGACACAGAGATGTATACATGGTTGTGTGCAAATGTGTATACCACAAATAACACCTTTTAAATCATTATCTTGAATTACCTCCAATTACTTCATTACCCTGACACATTTTAAACTTTTCCAATTTACCTAATATGTAAACTGTAAATATTTGATTGATAATATTTATTATTAGTCTGTTAAGATTTTTCTTGCTTGGAATTTTCTGGAAATAAACACAACATAGGGCAGATGATACAGTAGTTAATTATATCCTTACAATTAGGAAGATAATAGAGCCCCATAGTTTCAAATCTAAAAGATGAAAAATAGAACAGTGAGAAGCCTCCTATGACAAATCTCTTGCTAAAAATTTTTCCTCCTTGCAAGAAGCAATGTTACCAATTCCTTGTGTATCCTTCCA